CGAATTGGAAATGGGATTTTTACACTAAAATTTATTAAAAAATCAAAATGTGTACTGAAGATAATGTGGCTGTATGACGTTTAAGAAAAAAAATAATGATTTAAATATAGTACTCATAAACTATTTGAAATCTGTTATTTGCAATTGACTCAGCCAATAAAAACACAGCCGTCAACATGTCAGTGGTAAAAAGTGCCGCTGATTTCCATAAAGTGTGAAATTTCCATGAAATACTGACGGAGACTTGATACGCTAAACAAAGATGGAGAACATCTCACTCACAAACCACTCGAATAGCTCGATACACACCGACTGCAAGTATTGGGGTCCTGAGAGCGATGTTGGAAAGGTTGCTAAACGCACTGCCTTTGTATTGGTAATTTTAGTGGGAATTTTTGGCAACGTCTTTGTCATCATACTCGCGACAAAATACACAGTACGCAGGAGCCTGAACCATTTAATCACCAACATGGCCGTGTCAGATACACTATTCCTTTTCTCTTCGCTACTAGGGAACATTCCTTGGCTTTCTAACAATATTTGGAGAATATATCATAACGGTTTATTGGGAATTATTGAATGTAAAATAGTGTGGTTCATATGGAATACTTCAGTTAGAGTAACCCTAATAACTTTATTGGTTATCAGCGTTGAACGTTTTAGAGCGACAAGACAAACTCTACAGAAACAGCGACCATATACACCGAAACAACGAATGACGGTGCTGGGTTTCTGCTGGTTGATTCCCATGCTATTTGCTGTGTACTTCACGTATGTGGATGATACTTGCAGTATACCGATGCTGGGAAAATCCCATTTATTGACATTTTTGGCACACGAAATCTTTGTTGTCATTCTTTGCTGTCTGATATTCGCTCTTGGAATTCTAACTACAAGAAGACTGTCCAGGCCTCAGCCCATCCACGCCCATCTCAACGAACAACAGCTAAAGAAACGAGTACGTCGAACACAAGCAGCTGTGCAAATGGTTATAGCGTCAGTACTGCTGTACGCATGTTGCAGTCTCTCCTACTTGATTTTCAACGCCTTACGGATTGCCGATTCTTTCTTTCCATCGGTTGACATTATGGATGACTCAGCCTGTATCGATTGGAGGTCGATCTATTTTATAATATACAAATTTCTCCTGGTCGTCAACTCGTGCTTTAGTCCTCTTATTTACATAGTGTTTTTACCTGACTTTAAAGAAGCTGCAAAGAAAGTACTGTTCCGTGGAAGAGAGACGCAGAACCAGGCACCAAACGGAGAAAACTCGATTGAGATGCAGCCAGCTCCCAACCGTGAGAGAACCGGACAAAATCTTTCGCAAGTGGTAGCTAATCATAACTGATGTTTTCTACGGAAAGC